CAGGGCGGCCGCGGCCGCAACTAGCACGCGTCAGCGGCCATCCGGGCACCTGTATTTCAACAGCTGGTGTCGCCGACGGAACTCAGGAGCAGCGGCTGCAGCCAGCAGGGCACTCCCGCCCACCTCGGCAGCTGTGGCCATTAGGGCACCCCCGGATACCTCGCAGTTTAACTGTCAATACCTCCTCGAGTGCCTACCGTGCCACACTTACCGTCTGCAGCGCTGCCGCCTGCGTGGTCCTAGATCGTTCACGGCCGCCCGCGTCCCCCTATCGGCCTCCACCCCGCCTTTCAGGCCGAGCGAAGGCGAGTGATGACCCCGCTCCAAAAGAGCAAGGTAACTGCACCACCTCTAGAACATGGCAACTGCACCCCTTAGCCTCGCCCCAAAAGAGCAGGCCACTGCAGCCACCTCCGCGCCAGCCCTTCTTACCGTCAATCTGCCGCACCCCGCTCCACTGCGCATTCACCTGCTACTTCTTCGCCTCGGACCGTCATTCTGGGAGGGCGGGCCGTAGGGGTGCAGATGGGGCGGGGGGTGGGGGGTCCGAGGAAGGACGCCGCTCGCGGCCCGTCTTTGTCTTATCACCTTTTCCCTCTTTGCAGTTTCTCATCTTCTCCCGAATTGCCCCCCCCCCCCCCGCCCCGCCGGGTTTTGCCGCGGGGCGGGGGCAGGACAGGCGGCCGCGTCGCGCGACTCTTCGGCCGAGAGAGAGAGAGAGAGAAGGAGAGAGAAAGAGAGAGAGAGAGAGAGAAAGAGAGAGAGAGAGAGAAAGGGAGAGAGAGAGAGAGAAAACAAAAAGGGAATGAAAGGGAGAGAGAGAGAGAGAGAGCAAACAATAGAAGCATAAAACCTAAAAAAGAGAAAAAGAGGAGGAGGGGGGGGAGGTGCAGGAGGGGAAGGAGGGGGAGGACCTGCTCGAGACCCATTGATGAAGAGAGTAGGCGAGGCAACGCGGCGCACGTGCTTGCCCTGAACGTTCCGAGCCCGGTGCTCCAGCCCGGTGTTCCCGTCACGTTGCATCGCTCCGCGATCGGTCCACTCCATATCATTCCTCCGCCCCCCCCCCTCCCTCCTCCTCCTCCCCCTCCTCCTCCTCCTCCTCCTCCTCCTCCTACTCCTCCTCCTCCTCCTCCTCCTCCTCCTCCTCCTCCTCTCCTTCCTCTTTCCTCCTCCTCCTCCTCCTCCTCCTCCTCCTCTTTCCTCCCGCCTCCTCCGGGTCGGGCAACGGGGGGTGGATACAGAGGGGGGGGGGGGGGTATTGCCGCCGCCGAGCGCTTTCCTCGATGCCAGGGCGCCGGGGGGCGCGGGGAAAACCGGCTACGGGAGCCGATTCGCCAATCCCGTTGTCCGTCCGTCCCGAGCATCGACGCGGTCCGCAGTGCCTCCACGAGCTGGGGGCGGCGGATTTCTTGAGCGTGGGGCTCCCGGCGCCACCGGTGATTGTGGCGGTGGCTTTCGCTTTTCATGTTGCTCCGTGGGGAGGAGGGAGGCCGACGCTCTCCGACCGCATGCACTGCGCAAGCAGCATCAGCGTTCGGACTCGGATGTCCAAAATCTGAGGAAAAAGGTCAGGGACGCCGAATCCTGGTCATTGCAAATCAGGACGCTGGAAAATGGTAGCTGGAGAAGAGAAGTCTACACACGGCGTCATGTTTTCGGGTGCTCAAAACAGTGCCCAGGTTCGTGAAAAGCCCATGTTTGCGAGCCGTTGACCACAAGTCGGAGCGGACGGTCGTCTGCCATGTTCGGCATCCGGAGGCCAGTTTGAGGCTTCGGCGCTGAGGAACAAAAACTGCCAGGGATGAGACATTGGACCGGGGGGAAGGAGCCTAGCGGTTCGAGGGCCTACTCTTAAGTCGGGCATGTTCGTCTACAGGGGGGATATTCAAAAATAGTCAAAGATAGTTTGGATACGATTTTGTTATATGATTGTTTTGATTATGTGGGTTTTTTGTTAGGGGGGGTAACCCGCCTGTAGGGGGACACGCTCGACTTCAGCCTAACGGTTCGAGGGCCTACTCATCCAAATAATCGAAGCGCCAGATGCTTGGACAGCGGGGCGGACGGAATCGGGGAGGTCCGCGCTCAAGAGCCTCATCACAGCACGGCTCCCCGCTCGGGCCCCCACAGCCGGCCCAGACGCCAGCCCACACAGCCCAAACGCTGAAATGAACGACCCCGGTGGGTTCGGAAGATGTTCGCTGTTCCTTAGGTCATTCCATGGTTGTTCCTCTAGGCTCTTGTAGTGCCAAACATCGGCGGCGACCGAGGGGAGAAGGCGGCAGGACTTCTCAGAAGCCCTCGCGCCATCTGAACGGTTTTCTCTACGTCTTCCAGAAAGGCGTTAACAACTTCTCATCAGGCCAGAGGCTCCCGAGCCTTTGAGAAGGCCCGCCGCTTCTCACTTCCCCCCGGGGTTCGCCGCCGAAGTCGCTCCTCAGTGCAGCAGCCCGACTGCAGAGCGGACGCAGACCTGCAGACCTTGCCAGGAGGGGATGTGCCAAGCGTGCACGGGCGCGCAGGCCGACGGGCGCGCTGGCGAAGCCGAGCCGGCGAGCAGATTGCGCGCGCGCGCAGCGCGTGAGAGCGCTGGCGCGAGCGCGCGGGCCCGTGGGCGAGGAGCGATCTATGGGTTGCGCCAGAGGCTACGGCACTGACGGGGCGGGCGCGCGAGCTCACCAGCGCGCGAGCGCGCGGGCGCGCGGGCGAGGAGCGATCTATGGGTTGCGCCAGAGGCTGCGTCACTGATGGGGCGGGCGCGCGCGCAGAACGTGCAAGCGCGCGGGCACGTGGGCAAGGAGCGACCTATGGGTTTCGCCAGAGGCTGCGTCAACCGTAGGTTACGCCTCAGGGCCCAGCTGTCGGTTGCTGTCCTAAGGATTTGCCGGGAGGCCATCCGCACCCTCGCAGGCGCATGGCCGATCTGCTGCCGCATGCATGTGGGACATCCTCGCCTGCCGTGCCGGTGGTTCTGCGAAGACGGCGTTGACCAGCTCCCGCATTGCCTGGTGCGCCGAGGCGCGCGGTCACGCGCCCGCGTGGCAGTCGCCCACAAAAGTGCCCACTTCACCGCCTCGGCTTGGGCTCGACAGCGGACCACGACGCAGAGCCGCAGGGCGAGGACGGCCCCCGCGGAACGGTGGCGCGGGCTGGCCACGTTGAACCATGCTACGCCACCGCCCGGGCCCACTGCAGCCGGTGGCCCAGGCACTGGCGCGCACCGCCTCCCAGCGCGTAGGGGTGCCCCAGCTCCCCGCGCTGGCCCGGCGCGAACCGCTCGCCGTACGCGGCCTTGGCCCACAGCAACACAGACAGCATCGGCGTTAGGTAGAGGTCAGCCCCTTGTGCCTGCCCCGCAGCCCACCGCCCCTGCGCTGGCAGTCAGGAGGAGGGGCGAGGCCAGTACTGCGCCTTGCTCGTGCACAGCCAGGATCATCTCGGCGGCCCGTGCTGTTCAACCTAGCACAGAACAGCGACTTCACGCGTTACCGATTCGCGCGGCGCCTGCGGCGACCTGCGGCCAGATCTCCCGCCGCTTGTGGGGCCATTGGCGCTCCTCCGTCCTTCTCCTCCTCCTCCGTCCTTCTCCTCCTCCTCCTCCTCCTCCTCCTCCTCCTCCTCCTCCCTCCTCCTCCTCCTCCTCCTCCTCCTCCTCCTCCTCCTCCTCCTCCTCCTCCGTTCTCCTCCTCCTCCTCCTCATCCTGCCTCTCCTCCTCCTCCTCCTCCTCCTCCTCCTCCTCCTCCTCCTCCGTTCTCCTCCTCCTCCTCCTCCTCCTCCTCCGTCCTCCTCCTCCCTCCTCCTCAGCCATGGCGTCTCTGCGGCGTGCTCGCGGCGGCGCGGGACCCAACTGACCTCGGGGGCCCTGGGAGTCGTCCGCGTGCGGACGGCGGCCAGGGCCTCTTCGATGCTGGCCCATCCATCCTCCTCCTTGCCCCGAGGGCCCCCAGAGAGGCCCAAGGACTTCAAAACAACGACGACGACGACGACGACGACGACGACGACGACGACGACGACGTCGTGATGGTCGTCGTCGTGGGCATCGCGGTCGACCCCTGGGCATCTCCAGGGGCGCGTTTGGACCGCACTTGCAGGGCAGCTCCAGCCGTGGCAACGAGAAGTCTGTACGAAGGCCACCCAAAGGCCCCAGAAGACGAGCCCGCCCGGCAGCTCGCCACTGTGCGACGCCTTCTAGGGGAGGACTTGGGACTCGGGGAGAAGTGCAGGCGGGGGGCACCTGCTCAGTGCGCCCGCCTGCCTACTCCCCCTCACTGACGGCTGGCTGAGGCAAGGGGTGCCAGGTGAGCGACGCCAAAAACGGTGCCGTCTGCGCCGATATTCGTGTGCAAGTTGCCCGCGCCAGGTCGCGCATAAGTGCCCTCTTGTCCAAGGTGGCGTGCCGCGCCCTTGGCCCGGTAAAAGCAAGTGCGTATAAGGCCGCTGTGCCACCTCGCGCAAAGCCCGTGTTTGATCGTCGTTCAGGCTAGTTCTGGCAGCAGCAAACCCCAGACATGCGGAAGTCCCGACCTTTTCCCCGGGTCCGGCATTTCATCCGGAGCCGTTTCTGACGCTCCCGGGGGGCCGGCGAGGGCCCTCATGCAGTGGTCGGGCATAGCGAAAATCCTGCCGCCCTGTTTTTTTGTTGTTTCTCCTACGACGCGCGCGCTAGGGGGCCACAGGCGAACCCTACCCCTGCCCCCCACGAGTTCTTCACTTCGCTCAGGAGCTCCCGAACGAAGTGAACCCCACCCTCCCTCTCAGAAATCGTGGGGGGCAGGGGTACACCTTAGGCGATGCTTAAGAAAACCTAAGTTTTCGGCCAGAGTCTCGATTATTCTTAACGTTTCAATGTAAATCCTAAGATTTGAATGGAAATTTTTGGTTTTTATTCAAGTTCTGAGACTATGAATTTCTTAACCCATGATTTCTAAAGCATTTCGCAGGGGGTAGGGCTCGCCCGTGGCCCCCCACGCCTGTCTGGGGCTGGGCCGGCCCGCAGGACGCGGAGCCAGCCCGACGTGGCCGGGCCGCCCCCCGCGCGCGCCCTGGCCTCCCCGCGCGGCGTGGCGAGCTGCTGCGCCCCGGCAACCCGGGGCGAGCGGCTCCTCGAGGCGCCCAGCGGCGTGTCCAGCAGCGTGTCGAGCGTGCGGCTGGGGCTGCGGAGGCCGCCCCCGAGGGAGGGAGGGAGGGAGGGGGGGAGGGAGGGGGAGGAGGAGGAGGAGGAGGAGGAGGAGGAGGAGGAGGAGGAGGAGGAGGAGGAGGAGGAGGAGGAGGAGGAGGAGGAGGAGGAGGAGGACGGCGCAGGCCGAGGAGTGCTCCCGAGCAGCCGCGCTCCTTTGCCAGCCCGGGATTGCCACCTCTGACGCCCGAGACGGCCGCCGCGCTCCAAGAGCTGCTCGAGCCAGACGGCGCACCTGCCTTCGATCCCAAGCCACGCGGCGGGCCCGCCGCCGTTTCGCCACCCTCTCTCACCAGGACTTGCAAATAGCGTTCCAACGGAACCCGAGAGGGAGCGGGGCCGCTGTGGGAGGCGGCCGTTTTGAGCAGTGGCGGGCATCGTTGGCGGAGCCAGCCGCCCTTGCAATTTTCTGCAACTTCTGTGATCTGTGACCCGCTCGCCACTGGGAACCTGCTCGCGAGCGCCACTCAGCAAACGGAGCGGCGGGGTGCAAGTTTTATTTTGGAGACGAATGCGGACACTGCCACCGCGCGGGCTCGGCGGGAGGCCTAGACCAGGGGGCCCCGCTGGCGCCCCTCTTCGCCTGCGGCCTCCGTTCCCCCTTGCGGGCGGCCCCGGGCGCGCTGCAGGCAGAGGCCGCCGCCCTCGGCCTGCGGGCCGACGGTGTCCGCGTCTTGGTCTGGGCGATGTTGTCGTCCTCGCGCGCCCCGCTGTGGAAGCCGAGGTCGGGGCGACCGCGGAGGCAACCCTGGGGCCCCTGGGGAACTGCAGCGGTGGAAGACGCAGGCTTAGTCACCCCGCTCGGCTTGCCCGCCAGAGCTGGCTGGCAGCAGGCTGGCGCCCCGACGGCGTCACGCTGCTGGGCGTCCCGATCGGAGAAACCGCTGCCGCCAGCAACCTCCTCGAAGGGAGCGGCGGGCGCCGGCTGGACTTGGGAAGCAACGCTAACGCCGTGGCGCGCAACGCCGAGACCGCCGAGAGAGCGGCGGCGTTGCTGGAGAAGTTCGCCCACCCCGCCACGCAGGCCTCGCCGCACCTCCCAGCGACCCAGGCGGCGGGGCTCCTCCCGGAATTGCGGCGCGGGCAAGTTGACGCACCTGCTCTGCGCCAACCCGCCGGCCTGCTCCCAAGGCCCGGCCGCGGCTTACGACGGTGCGCTCCCCGAGGCTTCTCAGGAGCTGTGACGCGGCTGGACCCGCTGGCGCCCGAGCAGCGCGCGCACTGCCGCCTGCCGCTCCGGCTGGGCGGCCGAGGCTTCCGCAGCCAGGAGGAGCTCGCGCCCGCCGCGTGGGCCGCCTCCTGGGCGCAGATATTAACAGAGCTCGCTGACCTCGAGACCTCCTGCCTGCCCCTCGCTGCGGCCTGCCGAGAGGCGCTGACTGGGCTGCTGCCGGGCCCGTGGGACAAGGCCGGGCCACTGCCCGCGAGGTGGGTCCGCTGCTCCTCGGCGGCAGATCGCCCAAGGAGAAAATCCAGAGGAGACCCACGCACAGGCTTGATTTAACCAAATATTCAGGGGGCCTGGCAGTTGGCGAACGGCGGGCCGGACCAGCGGCTGGACAACGCGGAATACCGCGCCACCGCCTGGGCGTTCCTCGGCCAGGAATGCGCGTCCACGGGCAGCCGCTGCTGCAACCGCCCGCGTATACCGGCGAGCGGGAGGGGCAGCCCTGCAGCCGTTTTGCTGCAAGGCGCGGAACGCCTTCCGTTGCGCCTGCGGGGGTGGCACCAAGGCGCGCAGCAGGGATGTTGAGGACGTGTGGAGCCGCATCCACCAGGATCAGTGCGGTTTCCGCGCGGCTGGACAGGTCCCGGCCCCAGTTTGGGATCGTTGCGCTGGCGCTGCGCCGCGGCTGTCTGCCGCGCGCGGGAGCGGGCCGCGGGCGTCGGGACTACTTCTGGCTCGCGCTATGCCGACGCCCCGCCGGGCGGGCCTCGCGGCGCTTGCACGGGGCCGCTGGAGGACGAACGCCATTGCAGGAGGTGCTCCTCGACCTCGAGGCGCCCAGCGTGGCGGCAGCCCCCGGATGCTGGCGGACGTCGCTGTTCGCTGCAGCGTTCCGGGGGGCGCCCGCGCCATTGCCGCTGCCAGACGGACGGCGAGGGCGCGGTGGCCGCCGAGAGGCTGACCAGCGCCGGCGCTGCCCCGAGCGCTGGCAGCCCTGCTGGTCGGTCCTCTCGAGGCCCATGCGCACGAAAGATCTGACCGGCCGGGCAGGGCCGCGGCGCGGCGCGTGCGCTAGCTCGCGCGGGGCCGCGCCCAGGCGCTGGGGGGCGGGCCGGACGCCGGCGCGATCGCGGCTAGGCGTTGCTTCACCAGGGTGGCCGTGGCGCCGGCGACTCCTCAAGCCTTGACCTCCGAGGGCATCCTCGCCCCAGCCTCCTCCGATGAGCCTCCTCCGCCACTCTCGGGGCCTAGTCGCCAGCAAATTCGTTCCCTCGCGAGACCTCGGGGGGCTCATCGAGACGGGTGGGGTTGCACATCCAACGGGGAGCAGCAGTTTACGGAGCACAACCTGACCAGGACGGGGTCGGGCCACTTCGGCCACTCGGGCATCTTCACAGGGCCCCGTTGGCGTTACCCAGACGCCCCCCCCTATGTCCCCCTACCCCAGTATGCTGACGAATCTTTAGTGTATATATGTACAGTCATATGTTCATAGTTATATTATATGTGTGTATGTGTATATATATATATATATATGTATTGGGATGTTTCCCTCCGTAAGTCGGAGGCACCACCACATCGCTGCCAGCTCGGTAGCAGGAGCGTGCTGACGGCCGTCACCTCCCCCGTACCACCCACGGAGGGAGGGGGAGAGGGTCGGAGGCCTCGGGCAAGTGGGTCCTTCGGGTCCCAGCCGGAGGTGGACTCCGCACCCCACACACACACCACACGGGGGTCCGAGGACGTGCCAGACCCATACAGGAAGCCGACCCGAGCCTCCAGGCGCGGGAAGTTCAACACTTCGCCGCTGAGACCCAGGGTAGGGGGTTGGGGTGCGCCACGGCTTGAGCATGCCAGGGGGTCTCCCCATTTTGGTGCCGCGGGGACTGGGTTCCGTGTAGGGGAAACGAGTCTGCGGAGCCTGCGCATTTCGTTCACCCCCTGGTCCAGTTTGCGGATGGCACGCTCGCGCAGGTGGGCAGTCCTCGCCGGCACCATCGTTTCGCCACAAAGGCACTCGTACATGCGGTGGCGGATGGTACCGGGAGCTACGCTAACGCACCTATCACACATGCTTGGGGTGTTGTGACCTGCGCGCCCTTTACGGTCTCCCGTTCAAAATGGTCGCGCACGGGGAGGTCCCCTCCCCCGCCAGGCAGGCTCCTCCCGAGAGCTGGCTGGCCTGCGCCAAACGCTGTCGCATTACCGACCGGGCCAACGCTTCACTCAGTTTCTGGGTCTCGTCAGTCGGGGGCGGCAAAGAGGGGGGTGATGACTAGGGGGGGTGGATATCATGGCGTGGGCCATGATTTGTCCCCAGATTTAATGACGCCTCTTCTTATTTCAATACGTCCCTGGCCCCCCCCCAAGGGCCGCGCACATGCCGCCGGCCATGATTTGCTTCCCCCCCTCTTGGACGGCCCCCTCTTGGCCGCCCCCGAGTCAGGAGGTCGGCGTTGAACTTCCAAGCGCCACCGCCGGGGTCCTCCCAACAGTCGGGTTCAACCCCAGCCCGCCCCAGGGCCCTGAGGGTGGGCAGCCAAGCCCCCACGGGCCTGGTGACAGCTCTCCATCGGGATCGAGCCTTCAACCCAGCGAGCTCCACTGCCGTGGCCGTGCACCCGCTCCGAACATGCTGCCTCAGCGTGGGGTTGTTGGCCCATAAATACGGCCACTCCTTTGCCTGGCGCTTGACACACGTAGCACAAGGGTCCTCCGCTTCACACGTGAGGAGCATCATTTGTCGAAGTGCACCAGCCTTTCTTTCCGAACCCAGCTGAGTCAGCGGCCAGGGCCTTCCGCGCTGGTTGATTTCTGTGGGGGGAGGCCAAAGACAGGACTAGCATACGACATGCACATGCACATTATGTAATGACATGCTGTGCTTACGACGTGCACGTCCTGAACTTGCGAACAGGCCAGCTTCAGAGGCCCTCATGTTCCCCTGGCGTGATCTCGCCGCTGCTGTTTTCCTGGTCCGTTTCATGCCCGTGGTATTGCTGGTCCCCAGGTCCTTCCCCTCGCTTGATGGTGACTCCGAGATCCTCAAGGCCTCCTCAACCTGATTGGCATCCTGGGGGTTCTGAGCCATGATGGTGGACTTGTTGGAGATCCTGGGTCGTGCCTTCAGGCATCCCGAGACGAGTGTGTGTGTGTGCTGCTTGTGCCACCGCTGGCCCTTAAGCAGGCCATTCCACTTTTACCGAAATGTTGTCCGCGAACTGTCGAGTGCGTGCCATCGAAACTGCCCCCCGTGGCAGCAGGCGCCGTGGCGTCCTGCTTGCACTCCGCGGGCCCACCTGGCCCAACAGGTTGGCGCTACTCAGCTGCGAGAGGGCGCCCCGCTCCATCATCGCAGGCTCCGTCGCCATGCAGTGAGAGGGGACGGAGGGTCGGCGGACCCGTCCCTTCTGCCTCGCGGCCGCCGTCATCCATGCCCAGCTCGAGGAGCACTGCTCGTCACTGCCGTCCTGGTCCTGGGGGCCGATCTCATCCTCCATGGCGTTGCCGCGTCCAGCATGGCCTCCACGCCCGCCTCCGTCTGCGCCCCGCCGGCTTGCCGAGGGGGCCCGCGCAGCTCGGACTCGCCCGCTCCCTCCAGGCGATATTTTGCCAGGGGAGTCCCCGCGGCAGTGCACCTCTCTGGCAGTGGCAGCGTTCTCAGGGTTGGGGAAGAGGGGGAGGAAGAGGATCAGATGGGAGGGGAGTGGGAAGCCGCAGAGGGGTAAGGGAGGGAGGGAGGGAGGGAGGGAGTAAGAGAGGAGTGGAGCGACGGAGGGAGAATAATGGATGAGGGGGGGGAAGGAGGAGTATGGAGCGGGAGGAGGACGGGGAGGGGAGAGGGAGGAGAATGATTATGAGGATGAGGAGGGGGAGGAGGAGGAGGACGGGGAGGATGAGGAGGACAAGGAGGAAGGAGGAGGAGGAGGAGGAGGAGGAGGAGTCTTTATAATGACTCATTGCGTCCTCCTGCTCTTACTTCTCCTCCTCCTCCTTCTCTTTCTTGTTTTGCCCGGCCCTCCTGACGTGAATGCGTTGTCGAATGCGCACGCCTTTGGGCTCCATGCAGGTCGAGCCCCTCCTCCGCGCGCGGCATCGCGCCCGGCGAGGGGCTGTCGGCGCAGGTGGTGTTGCAGTCGCCCAGGAGGGACCATCCTCCTCCTCATCATCCTCATCATCATCAGCAGCAGCATCACCATCATCATCAGCAGCATCGGCAGCATCATCATCATCGTCATCATCATCATAATCAAAATCATCATGATCATCACCATCATCATAATCATCATCATCATCATCATCATCATCATCATCATCATCATCATCATCAGCAGCATCATCATCACAACCACCACCACCATCTTCATCAGCAGAGTCTTCTTCCTCAGCGCTCACAGCTGAGGACGGTTCTGGGTCAAGCCCCGGCGCCCACGCCTCCTCCCTCTTCCCTTTGCTTCTCCTGCTCCTCCTCCTCCTCGTCCTGCTTCTTCTCCTCCTCCTCCTCCTTCTCCTCCTCCTCCTCCTCCTTCTCCTCCTCCTCCTCCCCCTCAGAAGGGAGGAGGAGGATGAGGGGGAGGAGGAGGAGGAGGAGGAGGAGGAGGAGGAGGAGGAGGAGGAGGAGGAGGAGGTGGAGGCCCATGCATGTCCGCGTCGCGAAGATGACCACGATCGGTGCTGGACGGTGTTCGGCCGGGGGGGCCCGGGACCGTGACGGGAACGGCTCCAGACGAAACGAGCCGCACGGCCGTGGGAAAGTCGCACGGGGCCAGGACGAGGATGGATCTCCGGACGCTGAACACATTGCCCATGCCTAACGTTTCGAAGGTTATTTGATTTTTTGGGGGGCCAAGATCCTTTCGTCTCTAATCGTTCTGTCCTGGGCCACTTCCTGGCCACTTGGGGACCAGGAGCAATTAGAAACGAGCGCAGTTTGAAATGAGCACGATTAGAAATGAACGACGTGTAAAGGTACCAACACCGCTACGCTAGCCTCGTGTTCCGTTTTGTTCCGTCTCCTGTGAGGCCCTCGTCGCCACCGCTGGACTCGCCTCGAAATCCTGGTCAGAATGCACCCTGGGAGAGGTCCGGGGAGTAGCGGTATCAGTGCCCGCTGATTTTCTCCAGTCCGTTCCAGTACCTTCCAGAACGTTCTGAAAAGGCCGCGGCGCCCGAGGCATCCTCCAGAGCCGCGGGATCTCAGAGATTCTCGATTTATCCTCACCCGAGTTGATTCTCGTCTCCTGGCTTCGTCTTAGGAAAGGCTGGGGACTTCGGGGCGGCCGTATTTTGAAAGCATCAAATCATTGGACGTCCAGGGAGAAGGAGGGGGAGGGTCGAACAGATCGGCAGGGAGGGGAGGGGCGAAGAGGGTAAAGCAGGAGGGCGAGGAGGACGAGGACGAGGAGGAGGAGGAGGAGGACGAGGAGGACGAGGAGGAGGAGGACGACGTTGGGCAGGTCGCGGCCGTGTGCCCGGCTGGCGCAATTCCTCCCCTCCTCGGGCGGCCGCTGCTTTGTGACCGGCCGCTCTGGCCAGGCACTGACTGTAATCAGCGGCTGCCCCCGAGGGTCCCGTGCCGTGGGCTGGGGGTCCGAGGCGGGAATTTATACATGACCACCGCCTGGAGGGTCAGTTTTCGGAGCCTCGGCAGGCGGTGGATATGGACATATTCGGGCCCCCGGGGGCCGAAATATATCCATATCCACCGCCTGCTGGGGCACCAGGACGTCGGTTCCCAGGCGGTGGATATGGATAAATCCCCGCCTCGCAGGGGGGCACGCTGGCACCAATTTCAAGAGCTTCGGAGCCGTGGGGACCAAGAGCTGCCGTTTGGAAAAGGAGATACACTCGATCGGGGTACACCCCCCCGGGGCCTACCCAGACGCACCCGTATAGAGGATGGAAGCCCCCCCATCGTACGTTGACGAGGTAGCCCAGCAAAAACAATGTCCAGTCCAAAATCGCGCTGGGGCCTTTCGGGGGCCTCTTTGGGGGCCTCTCCGGGGGCTCTTGGGGGGCCTGCTGGCGGTCTCGGAGGTCAGCTTGCGACGTTGGGCTCGAACTTTCAGTTCACGTTCCCCCTCTTGGGCCCCTCGTGGGGCCCTCTCGGGCCGGCTTGCCGGCCTCTTGGGCCCTCTTGGGCAGTTTGTGGCCTTCTTCGGGGCCCCCTTGGGTCGTATTGGGGCGATTTGGGTGGCCATGGGCCGTCTTGGAAACCTTCTGGGCCATGTTTGGACTATCTTGGGCGTTCTGGACCGAAATTGCCGAAGTGATGCAAACGGGTACGAACATTACAGTCGGACCGAGGTATAAGATCGAGGTCGGTTCGGGGAGAGTGCCCTAGTGTTCTTCGTGTTTGTTGGATGCTCTTGTGCCTCCTGAGGAGGGGTACCCTGGGTACCCTTGGATGTTCCGTCTGTTTTGGCCGACGGAGGGTCCCGCGTTCTTGAGGGATATTGTTCTGGCCCAGGCCCGACCTTACACTTTGGTCGGGCGTGTCCTCCTACAGGCCGATTTTGGAAGAAAAGTTAAACATACTCAGAAAGTGCACCCAAATTGTCAAAAAATACTCCTCCTGTAGATGGACAGGCCCGACTTAACCTTACCCAGGAACGGGAAGGGGGGACACCTTCGGACCCGGGACCCCCCAGGACGCCCCCCGTCGAGGCTCAAGGAGACGGGGGTCCATGCCAACGGGGTCCCGCCAGAGCGCCCGATCTCGCGGGATCCTGCAGGGCTGGGGTCGCATTGACTCGGGCTGGGGCGCAGGATCCTGCAGGATTCGACCAGACGTAAGAGTGACCTTTCGCCGGAGTGACCTTTGGTGCGGGCCAAATGGGGCCCCCCGATCGCCGAACGCGCGTCGGCAGTGGCGTCTTGCGCGCTTATGTCTGGCCCCCCCCGAGGCCCCCCAAAAGCCGCGCACCAAAGGTCACTCTTGGTTACCCAGGGTCGCTCTTGCGTGTAGCCGAAGGCTTTTGCAGGATCATTCACATCGACCCAGGTTTGGACGCAGGATCTTGCAGGATCTCGCAGGATCCTGCAAGGCTTGACTGGCCCCGGTCTGGAGTGACCAGGGTCAGGAGATCCCCGACCCCTTCCCGTATCCCCCCGATTTGCCCCCCCCGGGACTGCATCCCCGCGGCGGCGAAGGGGGTTCCCTTCGACTCAATTGCGACCTGGCTCGGTTCGCCTTGGGGCGGCGAGGCCTGAGATCACCGAGCAAAAAAATGGCCGCTTGCCCTAATAAAGGAGTGAAGAGTGAAGATGTGGCCTCACTTAGATTCCCGTCTTTGTATTACGGATAATAAGTTTCGGTGGTTTGGCTTGATACATTTGCATGAGAGGATCCCATATCCCTGATGTTGTTGGCCTTCTTGACTTAGGTTTCCCAAATGGTTAGGGCGTTTTTTGGCCATGAGAGCCAAAGGTGACCGAGGGCCCGTGGCGCCACCCAGGCGTGGTTCTCCTCGTGCTGCACGTGGCGAGGGTGGCGGGTCTCCGTGGGGCCCGTGGCGCCACCCTGCCACGACGGCAGATCTTCATGCTGCTTTGCGTGTGAATGCCTCTGGCGCGCATGAATTTGGAAAGGAGTGCACGCATGAGAGGAAGGGGAGGGAGAGGGAGAATCTCGCGCATATCCTGCTCACCTCGCGCCCACCTGGCTCTCTGCCACGCCCGCCAGCTGTCATGTCTTGGCCTCATGGCCTAACCCGGCATTTTGTTGTGTTCAAGCGAAGGCTACAGCCACGACGCGCGAGTTCGCCCAACGTAACTCAGAGCGCGAATTACCTACCCCGCTTTCGCTTCCAGGCAAAACCAAGTCATACCACGCGCCTCCTTGTCAAGCGGCCTGACCAGTACAGGCCGTAGTTTGGCCTCGTTTGGTATCTCTTGGAAGCGAGGGTGTTCAAAAGCGAGGTAGGTTTGTTCTCCCCCTAGTAACAAGGGGAGGAGGCCCTGCGACGCAAAGTCCAGGGGAGACTGGGGGAATCGTGCACTAAGGGCCCTGGCTGCGGGCAGACTGCCCCAAGGCTGCACTGCCTGGCCAGAAGATTCTCTTTGAGTCAAGTGTTCGGTCACCGATCCTGAGCCTTGGGAGTCATCGGTGCATTCCTGAAGCAGAAGAGGAGGAGGAGAAGGAGGGAGGAGGAGGAGGGGGAGGGAGGGAGGAGGAGGAGGAGGAGGAGGAGGAGGAGGAGGAGGAGGAGGAGGAGGAGGAGGAGGAGGAGGAGGAGGAGGAGGAGGAGGGGGGGAGGAGGAGGAGGAGACCCCCCCCCCTCAGGACGACGATCCCCCGGGTCCCCCCGCCAGTGGCGGTGGGCCAGGCCTCCGCCAGGGGCTCGGCGGTCCGACACCAGCGGGGAGCAGGAAGGGTGCACCTGCCCGTGGCCGTCGCTGCCGTTTCCTTCCCGCCGCCTCCTCTCGGGGGCGGCAAAGAGGGGGGTGATGACTAGGGCGGGGGGATATCATGGCGTGGGCCATGAGATTTCCCCAGATTCCATGGTGCCCCTTCTTATTTCATTGCGTCCCTGGCCCCCCCTGCGGCCGCGCACATGCCCCAGGCCATGATTTGCACCCCCCCCTCCTGGACGCCCCCCTTCTTGGCCGCCCCCGATCCTCCTTGGCATCGCTCGGACGTGTGCAGTGTTTCCCCGACGAGGACCATCGAGGAGCATCCTGGACCATCGATCGACAAAAGCACGCACCCAACCGAGCGGGGAGAGGATAGAGGATGGCCGAGCGGTGGCGACCCGCCCTCCTTCCTGGTTTCTTCTCCCTCCTCCTCTTTCTTCTCCGTTGTCCTGCCTACTTCCGCCTCCAGCTTCTTCTCATCACCCTCATCTATGGCAGAGGGCTGTGGAAAAGAGGAAGGGAGAGATTACCACGCAGACGAGGAGGGGAGAGAGGTGGAGTGGGGCGGAGAGGGACGGGCGGGAGGGAGGGGAGGAGGGAGGGAAAGGGGGGAGGGTAAGGTAGGGAGGGGGTAGGGGAGGGGAAGGTAGGGAGGGAAGGAGGGAGGGCAAGGCAGGTGCAGCCGTTCTGCTCCCCGATCAGAGTGCCCCGCCCGACGGGGGCCGGCAGGCAGCAGCGGCCCAGTCGCTGGCGCCAAGGGCTGTGCAGAAGAGGAGGGCGGCGAGGCAGAGGAGGAGGAGGAGGAGGAGGAGGGGGAGGAGGAGGAGGAGGAGGATCAGGAGAACCAGGAGAAGCAGGAGAAGCAGGAGGAGGAGAAGGAGGAGGAGGAGAGCAAAGAAGAGGTGAAGCAGGAGGTAGTTGGGAGGGGCGATGCTCAAACTTCTCGAGGCCCAAGTCCCATAACTGCAGGCATGGCCTGGGCTAGCCACATGATGGAGTCCGGCCATGTAGAGTTCAGGAGAATTCGGGGACCCTGTCGACCAGAGCTTCACATCATCGTCCTCGAATGGGACGAGGTGTCTTTTTCGTTCAGAGTTAACCAGTTAACCTTTTCGCCCTTCTGCTTCTAGAAACGATTGGCTAAAAGGGGGGATGTAGCACTCACGCTGGTATTGATTCTGTTCCCAGCAGCGCTTGCGCTGAGGTTTTCTCATTGGGTTGTCGGGACCTGGCCCTGGAGGTCGGGGGTGGCCGTTGCTGCGTGGACCGCCATGGCCAGCTTGGGCCACCCAAGTGTCCCGCCCAGATGCAGGGGCCCCGTGTGCCGCCCGTGGGCGTCGATGCGTGGGCCCTCCTCGCCAGCTTGCGCACAGCTGCGGCTTCCCGCCCCGGCACCCCTGGCCAGGCCCGCGAGCTCCATTCGGGGTGCGCAGGAGCATGCGCCAGGGGAGGCGCCGGCCCGACGGCGCCGCGGGCGGCAGACGGGGGGAGCGGCTCCCCGCCGCGGGGAGGCCGCCCCGTGGCAGGGCGTGGGGCGCGCCTCGGAGGCTCGCCTCTCCCCCCCCCCCCGCGGCGCCCCCTCCCTGCAGCTGCACAGCCCCAGGTGGTGCCCCCCGGTGTGGCCGCGGCCCCCGGCGCCGGGCAGGCGGCGGGCGCCCTCGCCACCGGCCCGCCGCCGCCCGTGGCGCTCGCCACGCTGCTGGCCGTGCCGTCCCCGGCCAAGGCCCTGCCCGGAGGAAGGGGAGGCGTCCTGTGCATCGTCCCTTTCCTCCTTCCTCCTCCTCCTTCCTCCTCCTCCTCCGCCTCCTCCTCCTCCTCCTCCGCCTCCTCCGCCTCCCCTCCTCCTCCTCCTCCTCCTCCTCCCCTCCTTCTCCTCCTCCTCCTCCTCCTCCCTCCTCCCTCCTCCTCCTCTCCTCCTTCTCCTCCTCCTCCTCCTTCTCCTCCTCCTCCTCCTCCTCCTCCTCCTCCTTCCTCCTCCCTCTCCTCCGCCTCATCCGCCTCATCCGCCGCCTCTTGCCCCGCGTCTCTTGCCCAGCTAGGAGCGGGCACGCGCTACACGTGGAGTAGAAGTCCGTGGATCTGGCGCGTGGGCGCCAGGATCCACGGAGCGGGGCAGTCACCCCTGGAAGCGTGTGGCCAGTGCCTCCAGGTTTGGCGACGGAGCGCGCCGTTGCCGTACTGAAACGGGGCCCGCCGCGAGTCCACGCGTCGCTAATCCATGTTGACGCTTCCGCGATGAAGGGTGAACTCCAAACGGTGGCACCCCATCTCCTCTCAGGAGGGAACGAGTCGGGAGGGCTCCCGCGAGCCCTCGGGCGCCGAGCAGAGATCCCTAGATGCCGAACCCGCTCTTGACGCCCGGAGGGGAGTCCAGCGGGCCCCGCCGCCCCAGCAAGATGACAAAGAGTACGTAATAGCGATTGTTCGCAATAAGAATATCAAACATCACAATCGTAATAACAGTAGTAGTAATTATAAAAATCAAAAGAAGAGGGCAGTACAAATAACAACAACACTAAGGAGGATAAGCACATGCATCGTATAATAATCATACGCATAAGAAGAAGAATACGAATACTATTATTAATAATAAGAGTAGTAGTAGTAATAATAATAATGATAATAATAATAATAATAATACTAATAATAGTAATAATACTAATACCAATACTAATAATACTACTACTACTATTATTATTAGTGGTATTATTATTAATAATAATAACAATAATAATATTACTAATAATACTAATAATAATGATAATAGCAATACTAATACTAATAATAATAATAATACGACGAGTAAGAGCGTCAAGGGTCCCTCGAACCACCGCCCCCTGTACAGTGAGCTTCGCGCAGATGCCACTCCTCGGCGGCGAGCCCAGGGGCAGGTGAGAAGAGGCGGGCCTTCTCAGAAGGCTCGGAAGTCCTCGGGCTTTCTGAGAAGTGTTCTGAGCCCTCACACCGAAGACACAGAAAGCTTCTCGGAAGGCGCGAGGACTTCTGAGAAGTCCCGCCGCCTTCTGAGAAGGCATTCTCCATTGTTCCCTCCCCTCCTCGCTAGCTGCTGAGAAGAGGAGCTGGAGATGGACGACGCGATAGCTGGCGTATACTCTGTGCCCTCGAGGGCACGCTTTCTCGTTCTTTACCCTCGCGCGCGCCTCTCCTGCCTTCTGCTACGCCCGCCAGGCGCAATTGGTTGACCATATGGCTAAATTCAGCACTCACTTTTTTAACAGCCACGACGCCCAAGGTCGCCCAACGTAAAAAGAGGGACACCCTGGGGGACACCCTGGGGGGCGGGCGGGGACCTCGTTAGAGTTCTCCGCCGCGCCCCGAGGAGGCCCGACGAGGGCAGTTTCGTGCCCCCCAGGCCCCAACGGCGCCGATCGCAAACCACACCCCGGCGTAGCCACACCCTGTGTAGCCGCCGAACGAAGGAGGAGCTGGAGGAGGTGGACGACGCGGCCCGCTTGCCTGCCCGTTGCCTCTCGCGCCGCTCCTGCTTTCTGCTGCGCCCGCCGGGCGTCATTCGAAGGCCTCGCGCGCCGCCGCCGCCGCGCCGCCCCAGCCTCGATGAGCCTCTCCTCGCCTTCCAGAGGCCTTGGCATCGCTCTCACGTGTGCATGTTTTCCTCGGCGAGGACCATCGAGGAGCATCCTTGATCATTTGGCGAAAAAACCACACACGAACTTGAAAAAACACAGGAAAAGGACGTCCGAGCGATGGCCAGAGGCAGTCTTCGATGGCAGCTGAGACAGCAGAGAGGCCCTGCCGCTCCCGCGGCCCACGGAGGCCGAGCGCTCGCTCTGCCTCTGCGCCCCGCACCTCTCGGCCCCCCTGGCTGCGCGAGCTTCCTCCCGCGGCGGCCTCCTGCCCGCGCCTGCCGCCTCTCGGCCACGCCGGCGGCGCCCGCCGCCTGCGCAGAGCAGGCGGCCCAGCCTCCTCCGCCAGCCAGGGGAGGAGTGGGGGCTGCGAGCACGGACGCCGCCAGGCTCCTGCCGCCCGGGCCCCCCAGCAGCCGACTGCCCCAGCAGGGCACCCGAAGAGAGCAGCAGAGGCGAAGAGGCGGGCCGAGGAGCAGAAGGCCGTCGAGGGAAAGCGTGCAGTCCCAGGACCTGGGGTGAGAGCACGGCCGTGCGATCCTCAGGCTAAATTGATCAATTGCATGGGATCGTGGCCGCCCTGGCCAGAAAAATGTGGCCCGCCTTTTTGGGCGTCGCGTAGGGGGGAGGGGGGGGGCGCTACAGGAGGGGGGGCAGCGAGGACTACCGAAAAGGGCCCCTTTGGGAGCCTGGAAGGGCCCTCTAGGGCCCAAAAGGAGGCCTCTAGGGCCCGAGAAGCGTACCTCTCTACCCCTCCCCCATGTATCGCAACCCCATTCAGCGACGCCCAAGCATTGAGGCGAAAGCAAGCACGATTCCTGAATGAATGGTGCGGAGGTCTCAGGCGAAACCGCTGCCAGACTCGCCCGGCCGTTATGCTTTTTCACCAGCCCGGATGCGCCGGACTCCCTCTCTCTCGCAGCAGGACCATCCTGGCGCGCAGTCCCGCTGTGATTTCGAGGCGGGTCCAGCCACGACGATGGAGAGCTCCCCTGGAGACTGCGGCGGGTGTCGGGTTTGGGCGTCGCGTAAGGGGCGGGGGGGGCGATCAATGGGGGGGCAGCGAGGGCTGTCGAGAAGGAGCCCCGTGGGGACCCTGAAGGGGCCCTTCAGGGCCCAAAAGGACGCCTCTGGGGCCCGAGAAGTGCACCTGTCTCCCCGCCCATGTATCGGAGAACGGGCCCCCGCGCTAAGCGACGCCCAATGGGTCCCAGTCGTCCCCGTAGGACCTGTTGTCTGTTGTACCGTTGTAAGAACCCTCTGGTTCGTGAAACGCCGTCAGCCGAAAAGTATGTGATCGACAACGAAAATGGTGACCGAAAGCGTGTCCGAGATTGCGTCCGGAAGCGTGAATTGTCAGAAAAGAAGGCCGCGTTTGCACAGCGCGCTGGCTTCAAACCAAGCATGCGGGTCACATTCTGACGCGCTCGAGAAATACCAGGCGCCGGCTTCGGTCATACTCGTAGGGGTTGTCAGGCACAGACGGGACGGCGTGACCGCGCGCAGGAGCCGTTCGGCCGACCACAGCAGGCGAACGGCCAGGGGCTGCCCGCCTGCGACCGCCATGCCAGCGGCGGCGTGCCCCGTGGCGGGGGCCTCGCGCGAGGCCGCCAGCGGGCGCGCCTCGCGGCCATCCATCGTCGCAGTTGGCCTCAGCTCAGCAGTCGTTTTTGTAATGGCTGTTTTTTTTTGGCAGCCGCCATCGTCAGCAGGTCCCACACTGCAGGTGATGGCTGCTCTGTGGTGGCGACGTCAGAGACACACAAACATCCCTCCCTGCTCCCCTCCCTCCCTCCTCTTCGGCGCTCCCTCCTCCTGTTCCCCAAGGCCCCCTGAGGCTCGGAGGTATGCGCCTCTTTGTTTTATCCTCTGGCGGTATCCCTAGGCCCCCCAAATGGGGTTCAGAGTAGATGGGATGGGGTCGGGGGATCGCGCCGCATTGCCGATACATCGGCGATGCGGTTCGGTTTGGATCCAGGTTTTCTCCGCGCCGACGTCGCCGACACATCGCCGACGTCGGCGATGCATCTCCGATGCATCGCTGATGCATCGGTGCGATGCTCTGGCCCCGTCTATTCCGACACCATCTGGGATGCCTCTGATAAAGCGCGTTTCCGGGCGGAGGGGCGAGGGGAGGAGGGCGCCCGGCGATTTGCGCTGGCGCCCTCTGGGAATTCACTATGTGTACCCATTCTTAGACTTCCTTCGTCTGCAGGTTACCGCACAGCGGGTCACCAATCACAGAGAGTGGTGGTGAGTGATCACCTACCTGTCCCCCCTGCGTGGCGTATTCGTTTGCTGTTCGATGTTTGAATTCATTCAGCATGTGCGAGTCTGCCTGTTCATTCTGCATGCGCGTGCGAGTTCGCAGTAATGTAGGATGGCGATTAATAAAAGACGGGGTTGTTGCGTCCGCGGCGCCCTGGAGGATGATTAGAGAAACTGGCCGCGGGCTGGGAAACTATTGTTTCAATCGTTCCCCCCCTGCCGTCCTTGGGCGCGCGCCCGGATAGCCGTCGACGTGGATTGTGTATTCTTACGTAACATGTGAATCCGACACCACATGAGTATGAGGCTAATGTCTGAAGCCGACGTGGAACGAGCATTTGAAGTAAAAGCTTGAAGCCGGCTTAGAATTGGCATTTGACGTGAAATGTGAAGTCAACGTCGAATGGCTAGTTAACGTAAAATTTGACGACGACGTGAAATGAGTATTCGACGTAATATTCGAAGCCGACGTGTAATAGACAGTTGTTCATCGCCTTCCCCCCGTCAAACAATCATATAGACATCAAACAAACTATTTGTTGAATCGTTCCCCCAAGTTTTGTATCAACAGTTATCCTGCAGTATGTTCGTGTTAATGCGCCGTTTAGGTGCGACTTCGTGTTTGTGAGAGCTATTTCCAGTCGGTGCCAGTGCGAAGCGTGACATTACCGAAGGCGGCTTTGGTGATGGGCGTTATCGCGAACAGTTTGCAAAGTTTCCCAAACATATCATAACCCATTAGCTCTACATGGTCTGAGTTGTTTTAGCTTTTTATGCCTTTGGGGACGCAGTTTTCCCGCCTCGCAGGCCGTCACCGCGCGACTCGCGATGACGATCAGGTCCTGGGCAG